TTCAATCACGATCAACTTTCCAGATAGGTGAGTTGCGAAAGTAGCACTCTCTGAATTTTAGGGTGATGGCAACCATTCGCAAATCAATGATCGAGTTACGGCTGAACTAAGAATGACGAATGTTAGCGGGCTGGAATTGCCATAGGGTACGCAGTATGTGATGCGTTGAGACTGCCATTTTTATCGAAAATATTTTAGTAAGCGTAATAAGGTTTTTGAAACCATTGTTTTGCATGATGAACGCCTTAAAAAAAGGTTAACGTCAGACGTGCTCCTGCAAATGTTTGGAGATTCGTTTTTTCACAGCTATTTCTTGGTGCCTCTGAACCTCACTGATCTTTAGTCGATACATCTATTCCTTTTCTGGCTCAATAACACTTAAATTTACTTTTTAATTTCGCTAAATCTTGATTTTTGCATCAAAATTACTAATCATAAGAAATACTGAAATTCTCTGATCAGAAAAAGTGTATTTGAAATATTGCTAGCGTTGAAAAGCGAAGTAAATTTATTAACTTTGGAATGGAATTTCAAACGAACAAACAAATCGCAGTAAGATTGATATTGATCTGTGATGTTGTAAGAATAGAACAACATGTACAATTTTCAATCACTACATAAGATCACGTCACAAGTCTGTAATGAACTAAAGTCAGATGCAGGTAATCCTTTTTTCCATTAGCCATTCGGCAGCTCAAAGCATTTACATCGCCGCCTTCCGGCAACAATATGGCCAATTTAATTGAGTACTGGTTGAATTAGTCAATTATTCCAAGCAGAACATTCGAAGGAAGCACAAAAAACTCCATCAAAACATTATTGCATCGGATGTTCAAAACGGTGCATACACTTAATCGCAGGAGAAAATTCTTTCTTTCGCNAGACCAAAAATTCATTGATTCTCCTCCCAGATCAGCAGCAATAAAGTTTGGAAGAATTCTGATTAACGGGCTCTTCGAATTCTGAATGGAGAAACTGATGAGTTGGTAGCACGAACTGGATCTAATTTCTCAATGAACGCAGCTGGATGTGTCAAACTTCATATCTGAATCGCCAAAGACTAATCTGATGAACGTATTACTTTTAAGACTCGAAGTAATCTTGTAAGTTTCATTTCAAAAACTTGCATACAACTGTCAGCAGCTACAATGAAATACGATCTGGCTCGGTCTAGAACTGAAACTGAAATTTGAAATTTGAAAAATAAACCCTAGTTGACAGTTTGAACATCTCCTTTTATCTCTCACGTCATCTGACTCATTAGGATGAGAGATTCTAACAAGAAAGAGAAGTGTATTCTAACAAGATTCTCATTAGGATGAGAATGCAATGGAATACACTTCAAAACGAAATCTCATCCAAATTCTCGATGCTAAACGATGAAAGGAGAAGCGTGGAATTCATAGAAGTGACAGACGCTACGAACTCAAATGAAGAGACTGGATTTCGATCAGTGAAATCACGCAGAAAAATGTAATGTTTATTGTGCTGATGATATGTAATTTAGAGCTGATGAAACGATGAGTTTTGAATGCTTATGCATGCATAAATTATTTGAATGATCATCTCACATCATTCACAAAAAGAAATAATGACATTAAAAAAACCTCATAACCTATTGTTCATTCGGTTGCTTTGCTATATCACAAAACTTTTATTACCTTCGAAACATTTTTAGCCTATCTCACATGCAAAAGAACAGTTTTTATTCGGCGCTGCCAGATTCCTTTGAGATTCTTTAGCGAGATAGGTCCCATATTGTTCATGTCTTCCACGTTTCAAGTAAGTTTGTGTAGTGATAATTAATAATAAAACACTAGGATAAGAAGTTAACAATTTGGTTTCTCATCGGGTTGTCACGCTGTTGCCGTAAGTCACTTACATCAGACGGTCGTAAAAAATTCATTGCATATACTCCGGTATTTCTGATATAACACGAATGTTTTGAAAGAATGAATTGAGCATTTTCACACAACGAATTGATAAATTGGTTCGAAATGATGATTGGTTTCAAGTCCATCGTTGAGAAGACTCTGCTGAGAAAGTTTCATTGAAGACCAATTTCAAGACGAGCAATCTCTTGGGAGAGGAGAATCTCGGATGAAACATAACGTGAACCTCGATAGCAAGTAACACAGCGCGAAATACATTTAAGATATATAGCAACTGCTATTCATTCCAAGAAGTTAAATTGTTTTCCATAACAAAATCAGCTAAAACGTAATAAGATCACGTAATACATGATATCATACATGGTGTAAAGAGTCGTATTTGCTCATTCGAAAATTGTTCATTCACTCGAATCGATTGCCGTCTGAAATAACCAAAATGGATAACTATTATGTGAAATCATTTCATGCACATTACTGGTTCACCCACTGATACCACNTCACAGACAAAAGAATTTTATCAATAAAGAACATATCTGTTGTTAGTAGGAATACTCATGAAAGCTCATGCGCTAGGTACAAATTCTTGCGTTCACCAATTAAGTGAGATGCATTAGCTGAAAGCTTCAAAACTGATACCAACTGAGACCCGTCAAGTAATAGAGTGATCTACTGAGCGTACAAATAGGAGATAGTTGTAAAAATTGAATGTGATTTGATTTGGACTGTGAATTTACGTTTTCTTTGAAGCCTCTATGTTCCTGTCAGAATAAAATAGGCATTTCAGGCTTCAAAAATTTGTCCAGCCACAAAATTAGTGGACATCGTCGCGGAAAATTTCGATCAAAAACAGATGAGAAAGGGCATATTTTGGTTTCATTCGTAAGCTTACTATTAGTGATTTACTTCTTCATAACGCAATATAAATATGACACATACAAAGTTGTGCGTGGGTTACACGTCCGTCTTAAAGCATCGATCAACAGAACATCAACGAAAGTAGTTGCTGTGCGACATTTCATCAATTGTTTTTTTTGGTACGTTGATGGTGGATGCCTCAAATCGAAAAGGAATATTATCATTTGAAATCAATCTTTCACTTGCTTCATCACCTCACATTCTCATGTTCGCGCTTTCCTTTGGTCATTTATTCGTATTTGTTGCAGAGAATTGGCCATAAAGTGATTATTGCATCTCATCTTGTCTTATTGATCACATTTTTCTGCTTAGCAATAATGATGTGATGTTATTGAACGAAGCTAAAACACATTAAATTTAGCGTTCGTTTTCGATCTCTCCAGCTTCATTCATTCATTCCAGCTCATACTACAATATAAATAATGTCATTTTCTCGATTTCATAAATCTTATTCGAACAAGGTATGCACTTTCGTGTTGACGTGCTACGCACATGCAATCTTTAGATGGCATGCACGCAGTTCTATTGAAATTATAAATCAAACATATTGCACATAATCGGGGGTTCATTTCATAGCACACGCAAGGTACGTGCCTAATAACGACGCTTCGATTCCAGTTAAACTGTTCTATTCTTTTTCTATCCCAAGGAATAGAACAGAACAGTTCCAGAAAAAGGATGCGAAGTACAGAACGGAATAGAGCAACTGAAGATCGGAATAGAACTGAAGAGAACAGTTTACCGAAGGTGTGGAACAGAAGCATCACTAGTACGTATGTATCACTGGGACGATGAGCTAAGTTTTGCAAATAAACCATGAAGCACTAACTGATTTATTAATCTTTCGCCTAATTTTTGCGCATTCATGAAACTTCGACTTTTCATTGCAATATTTCAGCTGTACTTTTGAGACAATGACTTCAAGTAAACAATGAAGTATGCATATGAACCTCAAAATATATGAGCTTCCAAGGAGGATGTGGCAAGAGCATTGGAGCACCGCGGCAAGATGATTTTTTGCTTATAATTTGTTTAGTCTGCACTTGATTCCGGATCGATGATTCTGGGATTAGTGGAACTTTTTACATTTTGGAAGAATCGCCAGCTGATTGGGAGAATAACTTGTTTGCAGTTGGGTTTTTTCATTGCCTATTAGCCGGCACACTCGCTTGACCAACTATAATCGTAAGATCAATTTGAAAAAAGATGGATGACATTATCTCCGAAATACACTATAATGTATGGCAACAAAAATATATCATAACGTCGGGATCTGTGGATTTATTTATTCGTTTATGGAAATAACGATAAAGATATTTGTCGGTTGAATTTTTTATGACAATGACAACGATAACGATCCATGTGCAAAGCATCAAAACAAACGCACTATGTTTGAAACGCTTGTTAAACGAATGTTTTGCATACAGTTGTTGATGAACAGGAAAAGGAGAACGAATATTGAAAACATTAAAAGAGAAGAAATTGTGAGTGATGTCTGCAAATGAACTAAATGATGAATGGGATAACACGAGAAATATTGAATGCTGGATGCTGAGATCCATCAGGACAATTAAGGGGACGTGGATACAGCGATTTATAGAGCATCTGTTCAATGCATTTCACAAAATATTTGAATTGCTAAATGAAACGATGTACATCTGATAATGGTAAATTTTTCAGAGCAAACAACAACATGTCAATAGTTTCTTTCATTGGCTGTCATACATTGTCCTTCCGTTCGTCATCAGTCATCTGTATTGTTTCGAATGTCGAATATGAGATTTGACTTGCTTCTTTTGTTCCAGTTGCTATTGATATCTTTCAAGTAGCGTAATTCAACATCATTAATCACAATATTTCTTTTTGATATTTTCAGAAAAAAAGATTTTTAATGTTCAAAAGTTTAAAAATTTGGATCCAAAACTTCCCTATTCGAGGAATAACGCGTTTCATAAGCAAAATACTTTCATAGAGACCCTTCTCAGGTATATCGCTTGTGAGAGAAGTAATCACGGATTCAGCGTTTGATTTGAATCGATCACGTTTCAGAACGAATCAAATTCATAGATAAACTGTCTACAAATAGCGCGAGGGTGTGGAATGAATTTTTGATAAAATCGGTATTGCATTCACTCGTGTGTGTTTAAAACCTATGAAATATCAATGAGCAGTGGTTGAGATACAATGATGAAGTTAAGTGGTTGTTTTTATTGCGGCGGTAGAATCGTCTTGAGTGAATTTCTTGTATATGCCTGAATCTGGTGGTTCGATCAACTGTTCGCCATCACGGCCGAGCAACCAAAACGTTTCCATAACTCCTTTGCCCTTCAACCATCCACATCATAAATTATTGAGTTGAAATTCACGAGACTCTGAATTGTTCTGGCGATCACCGTAATGATCACCTTAATGTTCTGGCGATTACTCTGAATTGTTCTGGCGATCACTCTGAATTGTTCTGGTGATCACCTTAATGATCACCTTAATGTTCTGGTGATCACTCCGAATTGTTCTGGCGATCACCTTAAAAGGCTCACCTTAATGATCACTTCACCTCGGCTAACCGTTACGAAGCCACCGAGGACGTCCGTAAGAAAATGATTGGCATCACCCGAAAGATGGATTTGACCAGCTGTAAAGATGGATTACGCGTTATCGTCATGTGTTAAGCTGTGAATGCCAGCATGAAACTTGATCAGAGTTAGCTCATTGATAATGTACTATATTCTGACTGAGTTGTTTGAATATTGTCTTAATCTGAGTTGAGAGCCTCTTATAGAGTGTTCTCAAAGACACAATTCTTATAGTTATAAGAGAGCATGATGAGCAGCGATCGCTTACGTTTTCCGTTGCTCTCCATTCGTGAAGCTGTGTTCACCGTATCACCAAACAGACAATAACGTGGCATTGTTAAGCCAACTACACCAGCCACACATGGTCCTGAAAGAGCGCTTTGATAACTCTCAACGAATTAATTCTCTTCATTTCACAGTTTTGCTTTCTTGTCAATGATCAGCATTTCATGATCAGTGATCGCTATCAAAGTTTGCTGATGATGATGATTGAACCTGTGTGTATGCCAACTCGAATGTTGATCTGTTCATCGGGCATTTGAGCAACTCGAAATGTTCGCAAACTTTTTATAAAACCCAACGCCATGCTTGCGATCTCACGTCCATGTTCATTACCGTTACGTGTGGGTAGCCCAGAAACACATAAATAACCATCTCCTATTGTTTCAACCTTAACACAGAAGTTATTTGCAATGACTGTGGAACCAGCAGGTGTTATTCGATTCTTAGCAAGCTCTTAACTCGAATGTAAAGATTCATGAAAACAGCAAAAAATTCCATAAGCAAGTATTG